CTAGGCTGGTCTTTGAAGGTTAAAGTAGAATCCACTTATAATAAAACCATTGGGCTTATTGGTGGGTATTTCCTTAATAACTTTCTCTTGGGAATTTGGAATGTTTAAATTACCTATTTGTACCACTCCCCTCTTCATGAATTAATAAAACCCAGGTGTTCCAGTTAGAAATCACTCTAGCTGGACTTAGGACCCCCTGGGCTCCCCACAACTACAAATATGCCTAAATGTCTTTATTCTTTCTATGGGTCGCACTGGAAGTGGTGGATTGGAATTAACTCACTAGAATTCCAATAACTTTTCATGAGATTACAAATATAAACTTCCTGGACCTTGACAAGGACTCTCTATAGGGCTCTCTATACCTGTGTTCAAGGTGGTTTTGAAATTTTTTTGTAGCCCAGGCTGGCTTCAAACTTGGAATCTTCCTGCCTCAGCATCCTGAGTCCCAGGATTTCAGGCGTACCCTGCTACCTCATTTTCTTATCCATTCATCCACTGATGGACAGCTCTTGTCCTGGGGCCTCTGTATTTTCTCTGCTGCAGAAATCTCTGCTTTTTATAGCTCATAAAAGAAGCTGGACTGTTTCAAAATATATTAAACCCAGCTATAAAATAATCTGTAGATTATAGAAGTGAAGGATCAGATGAAAAGAGTTTTAGAATTGATGCTATCACAGAATTAAAGTTCTCTATGGCAGAGATATTTTTAAGCACATTGAATCTGGCCTTCCTTTTCCAGATATGAGACACATGGAAAGCTTTTGAAAAGCTGTAATGTGGACAGGTCCTCCCATCAGCATGCAAAGCAGTTGGTGCTGTCATTGCATTCTGCTTCCTTTCCCCAGAGACTGGGGGCCTGGCAGGAGACACTGCTGGTGAATGCGGACCCCACTGTGGTCCTGGCCCTGCAGACAGTGACCCCTGTAGTCCTGTGACACGTCGTGGCTCCATTGCAGGGTATCCTGGTGAGGAAGCCCAGTCTTTTCTGGTTCTGCATGCACATTGCTACGGCACTGCCATGTGACTTTTCAAAATATTTCTGCTCTAATGGTGATTTTAGAGGCAGCTTTATTTCTGCTTGACAGTTGTCACTGTTTTCTTTCGGGTGCATCTCCTGATGTGTGTCATTCACTCCCACTACTTTAATACATCTCTCTCCCACCCGCAGTTTGAAAGCCGCCTGCACTATAGTCGCCTGCAGTGCTCTGGTGTAGGGATTGCTCAGGATGGGGAGCCCGAGGGCCTTGAATACTTGAGGGCAGTCAGTCCGATTTGCCCATTCTCTGTTCACAGGCCTTGGGGGACTCATCGTGCCGTGGGGCACAGTGGGGTTGTATGTGTGTGCCCAGACTTCTCCCAGCTTGGAAGTAGGAGTTCTTCCTTGGCGCTGAGGCCTCCAGGTGGGCACAGTGCTTCTGTCTGCAGTGCCTTCTAACAGATCTCGTCAGTGTGGCAGGAGGGGTGCGCCCTGGCCTGAAACGGGGGTCAGTGCAGCAGGGAAACATTTTCTTCTTCAGAGTCAGAATCCTGTGATCCCAGCAGATAGCCAGTTAAGCTTTCTTCTTGTAAATTTAGTGCCGTGTACTTACGCTGTTACTCTCTAAGGTGGATTCTTGTCTTTTCAGGAAACTTCTGCCCACTGTGGGTACCCTGGAGTACCCTTTGTTCCTGAAGCCTGGTGGTTCTGTTCTGTTAGTGACGAGTCTTCTCTAGTGGTTTAAAGTGAGACTGCCTCTGCTGATTCTACTTCAGGAGGTACAGGTCTATTGATGAGGGTCAGCCAGGCTCCTGCAGTGTTTTTATGAAGATCACTAAATGTGATGTCAGGAGTCAGCTGTGCCTGCCCTGGCTGGGGCACGTGCAGCCTTTGCCTTCAGATACAGTTTCTCTTCTATAGATGGGCAGAGTGTAGTCCTACCTGCTTTGATAATGACTGACATGCCTTGGGAACACCAGGTGTAAATCTAGCAAAGGACAGGAGTTCTGTAATTCTTTGCTGTGTGTGTCTCTGAAAATAATGGGCTAAAGCACATCTTAATTAAGCTAGTTTTATTTGGAAACCTGTAATGAGAGTGACTACACTGTAATTACAGTTCAAAATCCCTGGTACTGTGCAGAAACACAAGACCTAAGAAGGTGGTGGCCCTTGGTGCTAGGGAGTGATGGCTGAGACTGAGAACGTGCTTGGGTTAGGAATTTTCCACTGGGGAAACCTTCTGGCTAATTTCTGGTGTTTTTTGTTGTTTTTTAATGAGAAGACGTGAAGTATAGAAAAAGGGACATGAGGTGTGAGAGAAAGCTTTGCTTATGCTGATGCTCCTCTTTTGGTGTGCTTCGCTTAACCCCGTCATTCGCTGTGTGGTGTCACCCTGGAATGTTTCCTTATTGGGGATAGAGTAGCAGCTGTGTTGAAATGGAATTGCCAGGCAGCCCACCATCTAATGTGTAACATTCAGTGATTCTTTTTGCATATCCATATCTGTGCAGCTAATTTTAGAATGCAAATCTTCACCCCAAAAAGAAGCAGTGCGCCCTTCGCTCTCACTCCCTCTCCCCCACTTTCCCCATGCTCCCAGTGTCTGGTGGCTTGGTTGGGTTGCTGCAGCAGAACACCTGAGATCAGATAGCTTATGACGAGCAGGAGCTTCTCACAGTTCTGGAGGCTCCAGTCTCCAGTGCAGGGTCAGAGCCCTGTGAAGTCAGGATGGGGCGAGGGGTTGGAATGTTGTGTCCTTAGAGCAGAGGACAGTGAGAAGCCACTCCCGTAAGCTCTTTGTGTAGTGGCATTAACCCATTGATGGTGACCCAAGTACTTTCATGAGGCCCAACTTCCCCCAGTTGCATTGGGAATTGATTTTCAGCATGAGTTTTGGAGGGGACAGAAGCACCGGGCAACAGTTTATGCCTCCAGATTGGCCTATCTTAGAACTCCCTATAAATGGAGTCATAATGTGACCTGCATCTTTCATTTCACATGGTGTTTTCAGGGCTCAGCCTTGCGGTAGGGTATTTTGGAACTTCATTCCTTTTCATTGCCTGGTTATACTCTCTTGTGTGTGTACACATTTTACTTATCTATTCATCAGTTGTTATCCATTTGGGTATTTCTAGTTAATGGCTGTTATAATGACTGCTACTGTGAACATTATACATAGTGTTTGTATGGACATGTTTCCACTTCTCTTGGGAATCGCAGGAGCACATGGAACCTGTTTGAGCAGCTGCCAACCCATTTTCCAGATTGGCAGCTACACTATTTTATTGTCCTCCAGAAGTCGTTTCTGAGAGTTCCCATTTCTCCACATTGCTGCCCAGCACTTATCCGTCCAGTTGTGTCACACATGTGAATTTGATTTGCACGTCCTGTTGGCTAATGAAGTTGGGTAGCTTTGTGTGTGCTTAATGGACACTGTATATCTTTGGAAAAATGTCTATTTAAACCTTTGCTTGTTTTTAAATTGGATTATCTTTATCATGAGTTGTAGGGTTCTTGATAGAAGTTCCTTGTATATTATATGGTGTACATATATTCCCAAAGGCTTTTATGTCTTTAGTACATGGGTTGCTGCAATAACCATCTGGGTTGAGGACCTACTGTGGGTCACCTCTGCTATGACAACTCTAGAAGGATTAGTTTTTTGATTCCCATTAATAACCCAGAGGTAGAAATGATGTACTACCCTTAGTTTGTGTATGCAAAAACGTAGGCCCAGGGACGTTAAGAACTAGCCAGGGTCAAGCTATGAGTAGGTAGTGTGTAAGGTCCGAGTCACCCTGGGCCTCCTGTATGCCCAGCCTGACCTCTACTGGCATGTGTGTCCATGCAGAGCTGCCTGCCTAGCATGTGGGTCCAAGCTGGGCGTGTTCATATCGTGTCCACTCTGCAGTTGGGTATTCCTGTTCCTATGTCTGACTGCACTGGGCTGCTCAGTGTGTGTGCTGCATAGGCCTCGTTTTCCTCTGGTTATTTTTATTTGTAGTGTAGTTAGACACGATGGATGAACTGTCGTTCATAGATGAGCCCTAGCTTGGTAAAAGCGTTGCTGAATTAGGACTCTGGGGACTTACACATGATGAGTTCGGCTGTTATGTAAGAAGGAACATCTGAGCAGCTAAAGCATCCTCCCCCACCCCAGTGGGATCAGCTGCCTGGTGCCCAGTGTTCAGAACTCATTCACACAAAGCAGAGGGCCGTGTTCCCGGATGTTGCAGAATACATTTCTGTCCTGGGAGGGCTGGACCCAGTACTCGTGGGCTGGGAAGGCCTTGCCCCTCTCAGGCTGGCTGGGGATAACTCACAGAGCAGGGTGGTGCCTCTTCCATGCTCTGGCTCAGGTTTTTAAGTCTGAATAAACAGTTCTAAACTCTGGAAAATTGTAGGATAAAACCATTTTTAGCCTTCAGAATTTAATCTCCTTTGGAAAAATATACTTCTAGGATGTAAGAGAGGGTAATAGAGGGATATATGTGATCAAAATACGTTACATGTATAGATGAAAACACCACATTGAAACCCAGTGTTTTGTAAAATTAATAGGCACTAATAAAATACACCTCAAAAATGAACTAAAAGTTGGCTAGCTAAAAGGATAGTAGGCTTCCAGGCTGAAAGCAACTGTGGTGTAATCAGGTGTAAAGGCAAAAAATTAAGTTAAATTTTAGTTTAAAAAACTTTTAATGACCAGACTCATGTAAAACTTGGAGTTTTTATTATAGAAAGGACTCTTCAGTGGGTGCTCTGAATTTTAGCTGGACAAGTCTGGAATCTCCTCTCAGCAGTGTCTGCAGGGGACCTAGGTGGAGGCTTTCCGCCTGTGCCTCAGTGTCCATATCTGGAGCACAGGGATCCTGGCATCTTCTCTGAAGAGCTCTTGGGATCCTGCAACGCCTGTGTGACTCGTAGTGCTCGGGAAGTGTGTGTTACTGAAGATGGGAAGACGAAGGACTTAGATGGTCATTCTAATAAAATGTAACCTTATGTTTGCATTTTTTCTTAGAGGAAACACAAGAATAGAAGAGGCTTGTGAAATGTATACCAGAGCTGCAAATATGTTCAAGATGGCTAAAAATTGGAGTGGTATGTATAACTTTTTGTTTGTTTGCTTTTCAGACAAAATACTTAAAAATCATTTTGTAGGAGGACAGGACTGTTTTAATCCCCACAGAGTGTGAGACTGTGGGCTGGAGACAGGTGTGAGTGCTGCGAGGTCCATATCCTGGTGAATCAAGCTGGAAACCTGACGACAAGCTTCGGCACAGGCAGTGTCTGCTTTAGTGTCTGTAAACTACCTAATATGATGAGCTTGGGATAACTAAAGAGAGTTAAAGTGACTTGGAAATAGGGAGACTAATCTTTGCTTCCTACTAATGTGCTTAAATAAGCGCTGTAGGAATGAGGTTGAAGCAAAACTCATTAAAGCCAGCAGGATAAGTAAGAGTGCCTGGTTTTCTTCCTGTGGGCATTAGTTGGGAATTTCTAACTGTTCCCAGCTCTTGAGATAAGTGACTGAATCGCCAGGAACTGGTGCTCTGGGGGATCTTTGCAAACACCCCAGCAGATGCTCCCATTGCCTGAAGTCACAGGATGGAATTGGCAGGATTATTCTTTGGCCTGCCAGGGGATGGCTCTTTCTAACAGTGACTTGAGAGGAAGGTACATCCTCTCCCCTGAAAGAGAAAGTTCCAGGGCTCAGTTGGTACCTCAGGAGACCCAGTCTGTGATCTGGGCACAGTGCTGTGAGGTGGACAGTGGCTCTCCTGCCTCTTGCAAGCTGTTTGTTTCCCCTTTGCCTACAGGGCAGTTAACTTTAAAATGATTTAGGGGCTGGGGATTTAGCTCAGCGGCAAAAGCGCCTGCCTGGCAAGCGCGAGGTCGTGAGTTCGGTTCCCGGTACCGGAGAAAAACCAAAAAATAAAAAAAAATAAAATAAAATGATTTCAAAAGGAAAGTGCTCCCTTCTTTTATAACTTTAGTTTTGGACTGTAGGACTATAGTTAGAAAGGAGATACTATCTTTTCATAATATACTTACATCTGAATTATATTGTATTGAAAATGGGAAGAAAGTATTGTCCTGGTATCCCTCTCTTTTGTTCAAGTTCTGTAACCCTAAGTTAAAAAGTGGTCTTTCCCAAGAGAACATATACTTAATGATCTAGCAAGCAGATATTCTCCGGCTTGGAAACCCCACTGCCCTCCTGTGCTGTTGCCCAGGCTGACATGCCTGTGCTGCTGCACTGTCCCACGCTTCTCCAGAGTTATTTTAGCCCTCTTCCCTGGCCACTCTTAATGGCAGTCCTTTCCAGAAACTTCCTTCCCTTTGCTCCAGTGCCCTACATCATGGGTTAGCGACAATAAATGGATCATGTAGTGTTTCAGTTATTTCTGTTTGTGCTTTTGTTATTTGGTGACCCTCATTGGAATATAAACCTTGGAGGAGCAGGGTGCTTGATTTATCCCTGCTGTCTGCAGGCCTGAATTTGTGCCTGCAGCATAGCAGGTGTTCAGTGATAAATGAATAATCACAACACCATCCCATCTCTGTATGATTTTAAAGGTTCTTTTATAATAAGCCACTGCCTTTGTTAACTCAGCTTTGAGAGATCAGTATGGCAGGTATTAGGGCAGTTTTACAGATAAGGAGATAGAGCCTGAGAAGCTGGATGCCTTTGCAGAGACCATTGAGTATGGCATTCCTTGAAAAACACTTCTAGGCCTGGAGAGACCAAGCTGGCATTGCTAGCAGTGATTGAATGGGTACTTGGAGTGAAGTGCAAGCCAGTGGCCAGCTGGGAAAACGTCAGAATGAAGGACTTGCACTGTGTGGAGAATGGAGGCTGCTTGAGAGAGCCCGGGAGTTGTGCTCTTCATTCTCAGCGGTGGATGGAGAGACCACGAGTGGTTCTGGGACAGTGGATGTTAACTGCTGAGAAAGCAGTGCTTGCTGGAGAGGGGGTGTAAGTTGTAAAGAGCAGTGACATTTAAATGTATCTTTGCCCAGGTGGAGCGAAGGGTAGATTTGCACACAGTGATAAAAGTGGTGACCTGGTGTGGCCTGGGCTGGGCTCTTGCAGGCACTCTCTGGGGGCCACGTGGCTGTGGTGCCCTCGGGAGGCAGAGTCCTTGGAGCCACTGTCCAGCTGGCGCCTCCTGCGCTGCCTCTTGGTAGTGAGCCACTACCCAAGCACCCGGGACACTGTCCTGGCAAGAGACCCAAGACCTGCTCCTGGGCTCCTGCCCTGTGAGTCACAGGGCCAACACGGGCTCTGCAGGGCCAGAGCAGCATCCACTCTGACTGGTCGGGGCCTCCCTTTGTCAGGAAATTACCATAGGCTGGTAGTTTATAAAACACAGAAACTACTCACAGTTCTGAAAGTGAGGACCCTGATAGCTGCAGACCCGGGAGGGCTGCCTGCTGCCGCTAAGGTGGCAGACAGGATGAGGCAGCTGCCCTCAGCCTCCTTCATGGCCCACATTCTTGAGGGCCGAGCCTGGTACTCTTTTCATCAGAAACCAAGACTTGGAGCAGGAACTACCCCTGGGCAGACCAGCTCCAGGGTTTGTGCAGCTGCTTCCCCCTGAGGCCAAAGTCCAGAACCCTGAGTGGTAATCGGTGGCACCTCTGGAGAGTGTAGGACAGGGATGCAACTGAAGCTTTAACACAACTGGATGCTTTATTTCCCACAAAGAAGTTTAAAGTAGATGGTTAAGCTGGGCATGGTGGCACACACCTGTAATCCCAGCACTCAGGAGGGAGGCTGAGGCAGGAGGATCATTGGGAGTTTAAGACCAGCCTGGGCTACAGAGTGAACTCAAGGCTAGCCTGAACTGCATAGCAAGACCCTCATCTCAAAAAGACGATCAGGGGCTGGGGATTTAGCTCAGTGGCAAAGCGCCTGCCTGGCAAGCACAAGGTCGTGAGTTCGGTTCCCGGTACCAGAGAAAAACCAAAAAAAAAAAAAAAGAAAGAAAGAACATCCAAAACTATGTTACATACAAGGAACACAGTCCTAAATATGTATGCAAGGCCAGAGATATACCTCAGTGGCACAGTGCCTGCCT